CACCACTTGAGCCACAGCACCATTTCTGGATTCTTGAATGGTTAACTGGAGGTAAGAGTCTCATGGGCTTTCATGCCTGGGCTGGCTTTGAGCCATGATCCTCAGATCTCAGCTTTCTGAGTAGCTAGGATTACAGGTGTGAGCCACCCATGCGTGGCTTATATTTGGCCACTCTAAGCTAGTTAAATTACCCTGTATTACATGCTATCAGAGTCCATCTTTATCCATATCATTTCTTTGAATGCTGCAATATATATAAGACGTATTTCCTTTCCTTTCTTTCTTTCTTTCTTTTTTTTTTTGTGCCTAACCTGGAGCTCGAATACTCAAGGCTAGTGCTCTACCATTTGAGCCACAGCTCCACTTCTGGCTTTTTGGTGGTTAATTAGAAATAAGAGTCTTATGGTTTTCTTGCCCAGGCTGGCTTTTTGAACTGTGATCTTCAGATCTTAGCCTCCTGAGTAGCTGAGATTCTTATTATTTTGCTTTTTCTGTTCTTGGGCTTGAACTGTGGGCTTGGGAGCTGTCCCTGAGCATCTTTTTGTTCCAGGCTAACACTCTACCACTTGAACTACAGTACCACTTTCAGATTTTTTTGTGTGATTAGTTGGAGATAAGAGTAAGACATATTTCTTAATGTATACAAAGTACACCTTGTGTTTCTTTGCAGGAAGGCATTAGACTCTTATTTCCAATTAACCACCAGAAAACTGGAAGTGGTGCTGTGGCTCAAGTAGTAGCGTGCTAGCCTTAAGTGAAAGAGCTCAGAAACAGCACCCAGAGTTCAAATGCCATGAATGACCGACCAAAACAAACAACCACCAAAAAAAAAAAAAAAAAAAAAGAAAAAAAAGAAAACCCACAAAAGCAAACAGAACAAAAACTCTTTGGTAGAAATATTTAAGAATGAATTCATGAATACTCATTTTGGGGTGTGTGTGTGGGGGGGAGGAATTCTACCTTGGTAAAGTAATTCTACTTCAGCTGATTACGATGCCAGCAATACTGAGATAGACATGGAGGTCAGAAGGCCATGTCTCAGCACAGCATCCTCAGATCCAACAGCTGGAATCCCATGGATGAACCACAAAGTCGAAGTCATGAAGCAAAGCTGTCAAGCCCTGGGGAAAGACAACCATATGAGCCAGAGGCTAGATTAGAACCTGTAGCATTTGTGGAGAATTCTTATCATTCCTCAGCAGGCTCAGATGCCTCTACATCTGTTTTCAATAGAATCTGGACCTTTTCAAGGCAGCAGCAGGACTTAGTCACCCTGATATGGTTTCTAATTCGCCCTCCCTCCCCCCAGTTCTTCAATGTGGTCGACCTAAATATCTGCCTGATACAATGGCTCCCTGGTGGCCACGTTGCTAGGGGACAGCTAGATCCGCCTTGTGTCACTGACTCTGTGGAGCCACGGCCTGAATGGACTATGTAGATAGGTCACAGTGGCCCTGTCTTGGTCACAGAATGACCTTCTGGGAACTGTTTCTGCTTGCTGTAAGCCTACTCATTAACACTGTCCATGGGATGATGGCCTGGAGCCCAAGAAGGATCCTGGCACAAGGAGCCCTCATGCTCTCCCTCCACATGCTCCCCGAGCCCCGTGTGTTCGTGGCCTCCTGGTGTGTCAGGAGCCCTCAGGATCTGTAAGTAAAACATGCGTATTTCCATTTTGTGTGTCTCCTAACCATAATCCTCAATTAAAAGGATGGCTTTGGCATCTATTGGATGCCAGTCCTATTTTGTTTTGGTGTGTTCCAGTTCTTGAACTCAGGTCTTTGAGCTCACTCAGTTTCCTTGGGTCTACCACTTGAGGCATGCCTCCAGTTCAGCATTTTGCTGATTAATCTGAAATGGAGTCTGCCAGGGCTGGCTCCCAACTATAATCTTCCAGTTCCCAACCTTTTGAGTAGCTAGGACTACAGGCGTGTGACATCAGTACTAAGTAGGCTTATAATTTAAGCAAGTCTGGATGAAGTCATGGGGAAATGACACACCACCATCACTGGTGCAGTTTTGTCTGCAGATACTAAGAGAACATCTGGAAAGAATACTGAAACCAATAACAAAAAGTTAATGTCAATGCTGATAGGAGTGGTGGGAATATATGCTATCACAAATATCTACCACATGCTATGATGAAGACTCAAAAACTGAGCCAGGCATGGTCGTACATGCCTATAATTCCAGCTACTCAGGAGACTGAGGCAGGAGGATAGCAAGTTTAACCAGTCTGGGCAAACTTGGTCTAACACAATAGAGACAAGAAATTACCAGGGGACATGGGTCAAATGATGGATCACCGACCTAAGCACATACAAGGTCCTTAGTGCCACCCTAAGTTTTGCAAAAAAGGAAATAAAAACGAACTGGATATGGGAAACACCATGAGATCAGAGACAAGACAGTTCACAAAACAAACTTCATAATTTCCAAAGGAAAAGACAGCGTTAATGAGAAAAAAGAGATATTCAGAGATGATCGCTACGGAATTTCTGCAACCGATGGAAACCACTGATGTTCATGTTTGGCAATTACAGTGGGAGCAAAGCAGAATAAACTAAAAAAAAAAAAATGTCGGGACCTTGAAGTAACCAAAATTCACGTGTAAGAGACTGAGATTCTCAAAAGTCCCTGCCCATAGTTCATACTCAGAACTGAAGGGGAGAAGACGGCAAACACCAAAGCGTTCTACTATATGAGCCAAGGCCAGAGAAGGGACCAACCCTCACAAGGGAGTCCCTGGCTTCAGGCCTGGACACACTGGAAAAAGATCAGCAACCCTCTGGTTCTCAACACGAGGACATAGCAGACAACCAGCCTAGAGACATTGTGCTGCTTAGTTAGGCTGGACTCTCCCACAAAGGTATCAGCATGAAACCACATCAAAGGGGACCAGAAGAGTGTGACAACCGAATGAAAAGCACACTTCAGGATTTTCTTTCCCTGCAAAGGAAAATAAGGGAGTAGTTGGCAAAATCTGAAGATCCAAAGGTCTGATAATAGCATTATATCAGTAATGACTTCCTGTCTTTTATTTTTATTTTTTTTTGCCAGCACCATGGTTTTAACTCAGGGTACTTGCTTTGCTGGTGCCCTACCACTTGAGCAGGCCTCCATTCCTCTTTTTTGCCGGTTATTTTAAAGATGGAGTCTTGTGGAATTTTAGGCCCTTGCTAGCTTCAAACTTCAATCCTCCAGATCTCAGTCTCCTGAGTAGCTAGGATTACAGGTGAGAGCCATGGGTTCCTGGAAGGGCATCCTGATTTGGACAACGGTGCTGTGGTCATATAAGAGTTGCCCCTGCTTTTGGGGACACACACTCTTGTAGATATATGGGGTACCTTATCTGCAGCTAACTCAGAAAGGGTCTGCAACATGTCTATGCATTTTAAATCTACACTGAGAAATGCATGTGCAAGCATTGACAAGTCTTAATGTTTGAGAAATCAGAGAAAAGCACATTGAGAAAACTTTCGTATGCTTTTCAGCTTTTTGGTCTAGAATTAAGTAAAAAAAAGAGAAAGAGTAGAAATAGGGGAAGGAATTCAAGGATGGACCAGCTCAAAATGTGCTGAGAAGGTAAATTGGAGCCAGATGCCAGTGGCTCATGTCCATAATCCTAGTTACTCAGGAAGCTGAGACTTGAGGATACCAGTTCCAAGCCAGCCTGGGGAAGACAAATCAGGGAGACTCTTATCTCCAGGTAAGCAGCAGAAACCCAGAAGTGGAGGTGTGGCTCAAGTGGTAGAGTGAAAAAAGCCCAGTGAGCCATATTGATGATTGCAGGGTAAAGTCACTTGAGAAAATAGTAGTTGTTGGAGTCATTTATGCTATTTCTTTTCTACCTACAGCAAGCCTCAACGTTTCCTGTGGGAGGCATTTCTTCCCTGCATCAGAATGAGAAATAACCTTTATCACTAGAGAGTATAAATTGGGTCTGCAATGGACCTGAATAAGCTCTCTGAGTGAACTCTTTTATCTCCCATGAACTCCATCCCTCACAGACTTTTTAGTCACTCCCCAAAATTAGCTGCTGGTAGCCTCGGGCTCTCTGTTGCATTATTTCTTCATTTATAGTGTTCTTTTGAGTACGAAGTATAAAAGCATCTTGCTTTGGAATAGGCCAGTGCCTATTTATTTAGTCCTGGTACTGGGACCTGACCTTTTTCACTCAAGACTGTCCACCACGTGAGTCATACCTCCACCTCCAGCCTTTGTCTGCTTAATTGGAGAAAAGTCTCATGGTTTTTTCTGTCTAGGCTGGCTTTGAACAGCTGTCCTTCAGATCAGGGTTTTTCAGCTTCTCTTGGCACTTGTAGAATGAGCGACAAGATGACAACAAATCCCATCATAATTGGCTTCGAGTCAAGATGCTGGAATTGAGAAGCTATCAGAATGCTCACCGCATTCCCGGGCTGCCAAATGCTCTGATGTGCACACACCCGTAAGAAAGGGAAGTGAGGGACAGACTGTGGCCTGTCATTGACTGACGTTCAGCTGCTGTCACTAAGGGACGACTTTTGGGGTGCAATTTATGATCTAAGGACTCACAGCATAAATTTAGTTTAATCTAATACGCTCCGTTAAGGTAAATTTGCATACACTAGAATTCACATTCAGTCGATGCTGGACACACATATGTCCCCATTGGGCCACTAACACGTGAAGACTGAAAGGGGTCCTGTGTGCCCCTTTCCCAAACCATCCTCAGGGAACCGCAGATACCTCCTCCATTCCACGCTTCTGGACTTCATGTTAAGTAAAATCTAGTGCTAGAGCGCCCTCTCCTGGTCATGCGGTGTCACACTCTCGGAGGAATCCGCAGCTCCGTAGGGCGGGGTTGAGCCCGGCTTCCCAGCCCTGCTATTGGCTGGCTACAAAAGGTGGGGCTAGGGTGGGCCTATAAGGCCTATGGAGCATGCGCAGGGGGAGGCTGAAGTCCAGGTTGCCATCTTTGGTGCTGCAGGGACGACTTCATCTGGGAAATGGTCTTTTTATTTTTTGTCGGGGGTGGGGGGGCCAGGAATTCTGAGATTGAGTAGCTGGACGTTTACACATCTGTCCTTGAAACACAGATGGCTTCAAGATATTTGAAGTTATCTCTGCAGTTCTTACAAATAACGAGTGAAATGCACCTCAAAATTACTTTTTTAAGTTTATTTTTATCTCTGGGCCTACCCTGGGGGAGAAAAGTGGCTAGGTTGTTATTCTCTGTAGTCTATAATAATTGGTACTGCCTCTTTGAAGGGCAGTGTTGCTGGCCTAAATCTCAATTCTCACACTATGTTCCTAGAAATTGTATCCATCAAAAGACAAAACTAAAACCAATTGAACTATAGATCTAATTGACATTCATGGTTATTCAACCTGGGCAGCCTCCTTCCCATACAGTAGGAGTGCTCCCACTGGGCCTTGGCAGTACAGAGCAATAGAAAAAAAAATGCGATTGGTTAGTATCGGGTTACCTTTCTTGTAAGTATAAAAGCTGAGGGATTTCCTGATCACATTGACTCAGGTGGACTGGAATTTCCTGCTCTCAGGAAAAACTGGTCTACTTTGAGATCTGTCTTCTTAAGGTTTCAGTTTGATGATGTAACCTTTACTGTGACTTCATTTTGGTTTGATTTGGTCTGTGGGGGCCTCCAGTAGGTGTTGAATTTAAAATAACTTCAGCCCTTTTTCTTAGATCCCACAGATTGAGGACTGGGTCTTTAAGGACTGTCTTTTTTCTACTTCAGGTACTAATTGCAAACCACAGCTGAAAATTAGGGTTCCTATACTTTCTCCCCATGTTTGATTAATGTGCTAGAATAGCTCATGGCATTCAGGGAAGCAGTTTAATCTGTCCATCTGTTACAAAAGATGCAGATGGACAGCCAAGTGGAAGAGATAGGTAGGGTGAGGCATATGGGAACAGGTACAGAGTTCCCACAACTTCTCCAGACTACAACTATCCAGGAACTTCCACCTGTTTAGCTATCTGGAAGTCCTACCCCAGCCATATTCTTTTTGGGTTTTAAAGAGGCTTAATTGTGTTGGCATAGTTAATTAAATCATGAGTCACTGGTATTAGGTTCAGTCTTCAGCCTCTCTCCCTTCTTTAGAAGTTGGGAATTAAGATTCTTAATTAAGATTCAAAGTTCCAACCTTCTAATCACATGGCTGCTGCTTCTGACAGCCTCCATCTTGAAGTCATCCACCTCCAAGTCACCATGCCATTCCACACAGAGCTGCTGTGGAGATGCCAAGGGATTTAAGAGCTATGGGCCAGGAAATGTGATGAAAACAAAACAAAACACTGCATGATATTGCAGTATATGCAGATGCACATACGTAAATCACCAACATACATATATATATATTCCCAAATATGTTAATCCATTTACAAATATGTTAATCCATTCATTAAAAAAAATCTCAAAGGATATATGAGAAACTAGCAGTGGCCACCTAGGGAAGATGGACTAGAGTCAAAGAACGAAGGAATTTATCTCAAGATACATATTCCTTTATACAATTTGAGTTGTCAGCCATTTGTCATTTTTACCATTTTGTGTTTATCACTTTTTCTCTTTAAAGACTGAAGCATTCTTTCTCAGCAACTGTTTTTTTAGCATTATTCTGGAAAGGCCAGAGAAACAGCCACTATGCTTACCCTCTGAACCATAGCCCAGCCTAGCGTGAGAGCTCTTGGATAACAAGATTGAAAATATCACATCCATACACACAAAGTTGAAATAAGTTCACAAAACTAATAACCCTGGGAGCACAAGCCATGAGAATACAGTCACCCAGGTAATTCAGACCCATGACCCCTGATGCTGTAAAGATAATAAAGAACATGGATCATTGTAGTCTTTGCCTAGAAAATAGAACAGAAATGACAGATCACTAATCCACCGCTTCCTCTGCTCCTGTCCACCAGTGCAACTGTGTCAATGAGTTGCCTGTGAACTCCTGCTCTACTCATTTTTCTTTTAATCTAAGAAATTCCAGGCCACTTCAAATATCATTTTGAGGAGCACTGGTTCCAGGTGGCTGGAATCCATTCCGGCTGTATGCCATTCTCCCATGGGGCTGACCAGATACTTTGTTCTCCACTTGCCTTTTAGGATGGCAGCAGTCTAACTTTCTATTGGTAGGCCATTCATGGAACTGGGATAGCATGAGCCAAAGGCAGGGGCTCCTCAGCTTCTTGGGGGACAGGTCTCTGTTCTGTGAGAATGTCACGACCGCCTCGACCAGCAAGGAAGACACGACACCGAGCTCTTCTCTCTGCAGTTTATTCAGGACCTTTGAGTAATCTTCTGACCCCAACCCCGGGGAGAATTCCCCACAGCCTTAAGTACCCGCTGGGTAGCCAACCCTGATATGCCACGTGGGAACCACCAATAGGTTCAGGTGCTCGGAAGCAAGCCAGATTCTTTGCCTTAGCCATATAAGGAGTTGTTTACCACAAAGAGCACTCGCCATCCGCGGAGGGCGGAAGCCGGCGCCATCTTCCAGGTGTGGCCTCTCGCAGCTCTCTACATGAGAACAGTTAGTGAGATCCAGGCCAAAAGGATCTAGAAGCTCAGCTTTAATAAACTACATTTTCCCTCTGGTGTCAGATTCTTCATGAGAGAGAAAGGAGAATTGTTAGGTAGGTAGGGATAAGGGTGGCAGACATGTGTCCTATCTTGTTTTTTTTTCTTGTACCTGTAGTGCCTCCTGTTGAAATGTTTCTTCCTGGTCGAATGCTGCTGCTTCCTGTAATGCCCTGGGTGCCTGCTCAACCAATAAAAGAGCCATCAACCCATCAACTGATTAGCACAAAGCTCAGAGAAGAGCTATAGGTGTAGCACCATACTGTAGAAACCGCCCCTGAGAGGATGAAATTGAACTCTTCCTTAGTCCACTCTCGTGATGCAGAGTTTCTACTTTCTTTGCTTTCCTTTCACTTTCAAATAAACTTACCCTGTTTATCTTAAACATTTTCCTGCCTTTTAATTCTTTTTTCTTTTTTGGTTGGTCGTGGGGCTTGAACTCTGGGCCTGGGTGCTGTCCCTCAGCTCTTCAGCTCAAGGCTAGCGCTCTACCACTTGAGCCACAGCGCCACTTCCGGCTTTTTTCTTTTTGCTTATGTGGTGCTGAGGAATCGAACCCAGGGCCTCGAGCATGCAAGGCAAGCGCTCTACCACTGAGCCACCTTCCCAGCCCTACCCCAGGGCCTCGAGCATGCAAGGCAAGCGCTCTACCACTGAGCCACCTTCCCAGCCCTACCTTTGCCTTCTAACTGCTAGGATTATAGGCATGTGCCACCATACCTAGCTTTGATGGTATTTCTTTTTTTAATTTTTTAATTTTTTATTTTTTGGGTCCGGTCGTGGGGCCTGAACTCTGGGCCTGGGCACTGTCCCTCAGCTCTTCAGCTCAAGGCAAGCACTCTACCGCTTGAGCCACGGCACCACTTCTGGTTTTCTAGTGGTTTATTGGAGATAAGAGTCTCATGGACTTTCCTGCCCAGGCTGGCTTTGAACCGAGATCCTCAGATCTCAGCCTCTTGAGTGGCTAGGATTACAGGTGTGAGCCACCGGTGCCTGGCTCCTTTTAATTCTTTAATGGATAGAGAAGACAAATCAGCATCTAGACAGGACCATGGTTTTAAAGTTCTTCTGAAGGAATTTGGTTTAGATAAGGGAAAAAATTACTAATCACAGAGTGTTTTGATATTAGGCAGGAAAATAACTTCCTCTTGCTCTGCATTCCCCTGAGGTGGGGGTCTTTCCCCAAATGTGCAATGAGTGATCATGCACACCTTCTACGTAATAATGGAGACCAACAGTAAACATGATTCAAAGAAAAGTTATAGAGTGAGAATAAGAGAGAGATAATCCACTAGGCATTGCACAAGGGTGCTGAGGATGAACGAGGGGAGAAGTTGGGTGGAATGATGCCTGAGGGGTCATTGGGATGTTGCTTGTCTTTATTTATCTACCCTCTGCCACACACTGGGTGAATATTCTCACCTTCTCAGTCTTTTAAATAAGCAAATGAAATTGGCAAAGGTTTGAGACATCTCTAATCCTGCCCTCCCTCATAAGCAGCCCCTCTCTTCTCCCAGGCTCCAAAGCCAGCATTAATTAAGTTTTAGCTTCAGTCATTATACAAATGACATTCCCACTACGTTATCTGTGTGGCCCACACTTCAGCTCCAAGAGGAATAAAGGGATTTGTGAACTGCAACTAAACATCAACCACATATTGGAAGCTTATCTATAAATGAAGGATTTGAATGCATTTTTCTGCTGAAGCATTTAATGGAAGTCTATGTCTAAAAGTCTGAGGTGAGAAACATTTGAATTAAAATCTCAAGCTCATGTCTAGATGGAGTATGAACAAAGCCAATGTTTATGTAACAGAGATGTTTGTTTTGCTGTGGAAATTGTACTATATTTCTCTTAATAAGAGAAAGTAGATGTTTCAAATATAAGGACAATTTGGGGCATCCAAACCTGTATTTTTTTCTTGGTACTGCTGGTACTAATATATCATTTTCTGACCATTAACTCTCTGTTCCCAAGTAGTTTGTCATTTAGGGTAGTTAAATTTTTATTTTTAAGATTTCTTGTGAGTGAAATTAGTTTAAAATATATGTGATTAGTCATTCTGAATAAAAATAATTGCTTTTCCTTGTAAAGAGGGAAAGTATAAGAATCCAGTAAAAAAATGCTCAGATAGGGAATAAATACTACATAGAGTTAAAATACTTCATTATGAAATAAATATGTACATACATAGATTATTTCTTGAAATCCTTCCTAGATTTTTTCAATTCATGCATATGTATTCATGCATAAGTTTGTACATAGTAATCAAATAGTGTGGTGCTGATATATAATTAGATACATGGATCAAAAAAACAGAATAGATACTCGAGGTAAACTCATAGGTCCCTTCTCAACTGATATCCAACTAAGGTGCTCAGAACACACACACTGGAGAAAAGACAGTATTTGCAATAAATGATGCTGGGAAAATTGAATTTCCAATTCAAGAGTGAAATTAGACCTCTCTTACTTCAGGAAGAAAATCAACTCAATGCGTATTATAGACCTAACTACAAAATCTACTCATATGTAAATACTAGGAAAAAATGTAGAGAAAAGGCTTCTGTACATTGCAATGACAAGGTGCTTTTACACAAGAAGTGAGTTCAATTCCTCCATTGAAACTCCTCTTTTTATATAAATGGACTAATTTTATGCAGCATGCTTGTTCAACACAAGCTCCCATGGTGATGAGAAAAAAAAAACTGGAATAATACTCCAATACTAGAATCACCACATTCACTGGATAAAATTATGCAAACATTTCAAATGTTACCATCATAAGTGGAAGTGAAATTTCATCTTGCAAAAGACTCTTCTCAAGGCACCATTCATGTCTCTGTTCCTGAGGCTGTAGATGAAGGGGTTCAGCATGGGGGTCACCACTGTGTACATCATCGCCATGACAGTCTCCTTCATGGTAGAATTATTGGCTGATGGACCTAAGTAGAGTGCAGAGCATGTCCCATAGAACAGGGACACCACAGACAGATGGGAGCCACAAGTGGAGAAGACCCTGTGGATGCTTCGTGTGGAAGGAACCCTGAGGATGGAGGAAACAATTCTTGCATAGGATAAGAGGATGAGTAGGAAGGGAGTCACAAATATTAGACCTCCCATGATGAAGATCACCAACTCATTGATGTGAGTGTCGGAGCAGGCCAGCTTCAGCAGAGCAGACAGGTCACAGAAGAAATGGGGAATTATGTTGTTACAGAAAGTCAATCTGGTGGCCAGCAAGGTGTGCAACATGGCATGGAATGTGGTCAGCACCCAGGACAGCGCCATCATTCCCACACACAGCTTGGGGCTCATGATGCTGGTGTAGTGCAGGGGGAAGCAGATGGCCACGTAGCGGTCATAGGCCATGGCCAAAAGGAGAAAACTCTCCAGGTCTCCAAAATACAGGAAGAAGTACATCTGTGTCAGGCAGCCTGAGTAGGGGATGGCTGGGACTGGGCTCTGCATGTTCTGCAAGAGTTTGGGCATTGTGACAGAGGAGAAGCAGAGGTCAGAGAAGGACAAGTTACTAAGAAACCAGTACATGGGTGTGTGGAGATGGGTGTCTAGTCGAATGAGAACCACAATGAGGAGGTTCCCCAGGACAGTGACGAGGTACATGGTTAGGAACAGGGCATAGAACAGGTGTTGGTGTTCTTGTTGGATGGGCAGGCCCAGGAGGAGAAACTCAGAGATGGTAGTTTGATTCCTTGTTGTCATGCTCTGTTCCCAATATCTTTAAGATATAATAAGATTTAATTTTATTTTTTCCTTTCAAAACTCCAAATATTAACTATTATATTACTATGTTTGTGATTGGTCTTTTACAATGAATTGTTTCATCTGCATCCCAATAATTATGCCCCTTAAATGTCAAGTGAGTAAAATCAGTGTAATCCTTTATGACTTGTCTTAACTTTCTTTGGCATCTTTCAGTATTCTACAAGTATCCTGAATGTTTATCTCTCTGATGTTGAATCCCAGAATGCAATTGTCTTTTCTTACCTGCCCGACCAGTAATCCTGCAACTGTAATGGACTCTGGCTCTCTCCATATCTCATATTTAATGATCCTGAAGGCTTCTTCCCTCCCCCCAAACACTATCCTCTTATAATACTGTATAAAGAAATACTCATCTACTCCAGTGTTTTACATCACTATTTAACACTCAGGTATAAATGTCTCCCTGTGCTGCAGAACTCTAAATCTCATTAACAGCTGTCCATCCTGTAAAGGCATCACAGGTATATTAAGCTCAACAGACCCAAAATGAATATTCTTCCACTCACTCTTTCCTTACCTTCAACTCTCATTGAGTGAACGCTCTGGATAGCCTCCTTCATTCTCTTACTTCATTCATCTCTTACTGTGAGACCTCCTCCTTCCCAGAACAGAGCGACACCTGGTCTCTCTTGGATGACTGAAGCAGACTCTCAATTATGTCCCTGTGCCCATGTCTCTATCTCTTTTTCCTTTCACTCGGTGGCATTCTAAGATGGAAATGTGATCATCTCTTTCCTGATTAGTGCTTCAGGGGATTATCACAGCTCTTAAGATAAGCACAGAATTTCTTTCAAGAACTCCGATGAAGTTCCAGCGCCTGACCTGTGCTTATCTCCACAGACACACTGGCATGTCATGCTGCAGTGAACCTAGGCTGCAAAGTCCTTTTTCCTGCCCCTTGTTTACAGCCCCTACTGTCTCTCCCAGCCCATCGCGTTGTCCCATCTGTTGCTGTTCACGAGGCTTCCTTACAGTGATCTTAATAACCTGGCATTTGCACAGCTAACACTGCTCTGCTTCTCCAGACTTGTGGATATGCTCCTACAGCATCCTGAACTCACCTCTTCACACTCAATGCCATTGGTCACTTGTTTGAAGCTGTCTTCCTACCACACTGGAAACTCCATGCAGAAAAAGCCCTCTGCCTTCATGAATACAGCAAGGCCAGCACCACATGCCTGGATGTAGCCAGTGTTTCATGATTATGTAGGCTGTGAAATGGCCCCAAGTGTAGAATCCTTCAACTTAAAGGCAGCAATTTCTATTAAATCTGTTAAATCTTTCATGAATACAAACCTACTAGACTTAAGCAGTGGATTTTGAGACTCTATGTTCAAACTGGAAGGTTTGATTTTGTGTTTATGAAGAATATTAAGGTATATCAGCTATAGTTACTCTCTTCAGCAGCAGTAGTGTCTTCAGATTTTCTCATATGCAGTACAGATGATCTTTGTAGGTTGTTTTTTTTATTGCTTGTGGGGCTTGAACTGAGAGCCTGGGTGCTGTCCCTGAGCTCTTTCACTTATGGCTAGTTCTCTGACACAGTGCTGCTTTCGGTTTTCTGGTAGTTAGTTGGAGATAAGAGTCTCATGTACTTTTCTTCCTAGGCTGGCTTGTTACCAAGTTCCTCAGATCTCAACTTCCTGAGTAGCTAGGATTGCAAGTGTGATCCACCAGCATCCTGCAGTACAGACGATCTCTTCTTTTCTTTTCTTTACTTTTTTTTTTTTGTGGTTATGGGGCTTGAACTCTGGGCCTGGGCACTGTGCTTCAGCTCTTCAGCTCAAGGCAAGCTCTCTACCACTTGAGCCACAGTGCTGCTTCCCGCTTTTTCTGTTTATGTGGCACTGAGGCATCGAACCTAGGGCCTCATACATGTGAGGCAAGCACTCTACCACTGAGCCACTTTCCCAGCCCCACTACAGAGGATCTTATACTGAGACTAATGTCAGAAAAATAATCAGGTTGAGAATTGTATAAATGATGGGAAAGTAAAAGAAAGCATATTTCATCCAACCTTCCCTTGATGACTTACTTTTATATATGATGGTTAATTTTCTGCATCATCGGAGTTAGGATCTGGTAAATTTTTTGTCAGCTATTAAGTCTGGTTGTTGCTGTGCAAGTATTTTATAGTATCATTTACACTGAAATAGGTAGACTTGGACTGAAGTAGATTATGCTTCCTAAGAATCAGTTGAAGAAATTCAGAGTAAAATATGCAGTCTCTTGAGGAAAAAATTGTGCCTCAAGACTCCAGAGTACAGCATCTCTTTTCAGGCTTGTTTTTGTGCTATAAACCTTATCTGATAGCCAGCCTTGCAGATTGTGTGACATTGCTCACAATAAATCTTCCTCTGCCTCTGTGACTGTCCCTATCCATCTGTCTGCCTCTGTGTTTGTCTGTCTCTCTCACATACAGACAGATACATTCAAGTACATATGGCACGCTTCAATTGTGCTTCCTTCTGGGTACCCCTGACTAATGAATGCTTACCTCTGCTACCTCAAGTCTAACAAAGAAGGCAGAAGAGAGGTATGGGAGGCTCTTTAGCAAAACCACTTAACTGTACCCAAATGCTGGGGTCATCAGCCTGCTGATGAGGTTTAAGTCAGGTGCACAAACCCTGTGAACATTTAGGTATTATGTATTGGCATTGGAGAGAGAAGTACTGTGTAGGGAAAATCCTGTGCCTTGTTTTTCTGCTCTCTGCTTCTCTTGAGTAGGAGTTTGATGTGTATGAGTTTGGTGAGGGATCACAGCCTGAGGCCTTCCCACTGGTGACCCTGGGACTTTCCTATCTTCTCAGCAGGGAACCTGCAGTACTGGACCACACACATGAATCACAAAGGGGAATGTATCTAACGCTTATTATATATGGGTGTCACCTTGGTCCCATTAAGAATGATCTTGGTTCTGCAGCTCAATTTTTATATTCCAAATGAATAAGCAGATGATGTCAACAGATTGGGTCAATGGACTGCAGCCAGTAGATGGCTTCTCAGTAGCAAGTACATGCATTGTGTTTAAAAAAAGATTGTGAAACTGGGCACATGGCACATGTCTATAATCCTAGCTACTTGGGATCACAGGTCAAGGTGAGCCCAAGAAAAGTCCTAGCTAAAAATAATAACCAACAGCTAAACAGGGTTGGAAGTGTGGTAGAACATCAACCTAGAAGGTAAAAGGACTTGAGTCAAACCTCAGTACCAGGAAAAGGAGATTCCTGAGGTCCTACAGATAAATTGAATCACAATCTCTGATAGTAGATGTGTTTCCTAATTTATTAAAGTTAAACAGGTGGATCTAAAAGTAAACAAAAAGTTTAATAACTACTGTATTGAATTGAAAGGAGAGGGTCATGAGAGAATCCTTGGGAGCAAGAGTCACCCTCTCATTCATGAAAAGATGATCACGGTGATCCTTAAACCAGAACACTTCTATAATGTGGGCAAGTCTTGGGAAGTAGAGATATTGCAAAGGGGAAAGCTGGCATACCTGGGAACTTGTTCTGCAGAACATCAAACAGCCTAAGAAGTCAGGACTCTCGGCTTGGAAGGACGGGCAGTATGGCGCTAGCTCCTTCTCCCTCTTGACAGCTCACACAGGATGTGTGAAGGTGACTCCTGGGCCTTGACCCTTTTGTTCATGATAGACACAGGAAGTAACAGTCTCTGCAGTCATCAAGTTTGTCTGCCCCATCTCTGTTTATGGTGACCTCAGAGGCTCCACATCCCAGGGGAGTGCAGTTCCTGGACTAACTCATTAAAGGCAAAATGATTACTCAAGGCTTCCCTAGGACCAATTCTTCCAGCCTTGTGTTAACGGTTTCTGACTAGCCATGGCTCACGCCTGATTGTACTTTGGGGGAATGGTAGGGATGGAGGGTGATTCTTTTATTCTTTAGGGAATGGACAAGCACCCTGTGGGGGTGGAGCTTACATTTCTTTTTAAGCTTGGAGCAGGAAAGCTTGTTGGAACTGCTGAAATGATTCTAAGACCGCATTATGAATGAGCTAACATAACTTAAGTGTGTGAAAATTTATGTAAGAAATTATTACTGTACTTGAAGCATATTATCATTTTGAAAAACACATGTAGAAGAAAATTTCCAGGGCTGGGAAGTTGGCTCAGTGGTAGAGTGCTTGCCTTGCATGCCTGAGACCCTGGGTTCTATTCCTCAGCACCACATAAGTAGAAAATGCCAGAAGTGGTGCTGTGGCTCAAGTGGTAGAGTGCTAGCCTTGAGCTTAAGAGCTGAGGACAGCACCCAGGCCCAGAATTCAGGCCCCAGGACTGACCCCCGCCTTTCCACCCCCCCCCCCAAAAAAGGAAGAAAATTTCCAAAGTGACAATGTCTTAAGACTCTATGAATCCATGGACACAGGCCCCACGAGAGATAAACCTGGTTGTGAACAAGATCAACTTCTAGGACCAAAGTTTTTGTATGTGTCAATGTAAGCAAAGGACTAGAATAAAATTGCTTGCATAATGTTCAGTTCCTCTTTAGGTCAAGATAGAAAAACAAGCCCAAATTCCAATTGTATTCACTTCCTTGGTAAAGTTTATTCTTAAGTATTTTTTTTTTTTTTGAGGCTTCTGTTAATGCAACTGTTGTGATGATTTATTTCTCAACCTCCTCCTTGTTAGTGTACAGAAAAGTCACTGATTTTCTTACATTAATTCTATATCCTCCTCCATTGCCAAAGTGTTTGTCATAGCTATTGATTTTCCTGTTATTGGATTGTATGAGTTCCATAAATATTTTTGACATTAATCTCCTTCATGTATGTTCTCTATACATGTTTTTACATAATTCATAAAATGTACCTTTAATAATTGTGACAGACACATAGGCCAGAAAACACTATTGAGGAGCCAGAGCAAAATCCAAGTACATATTGACATGTAATTTTTGATCAGGCCATATACATAAGACAACGGGAAAGAAAAATCTATGCAACAAATAACGATGGGAGTGTTGGGCAAGGTGACTCACGTCTGTAATCCCAGTTGAGATCACAAGATGCCAAATTAGAAGCTGTCTTGGTTATTTAGGCCTTGTATCAAAAAAATTAAAAAGCAAAACAAAACAAAAGTTGGAGCACTGATGGCAAAACTGATTATCCACAAGCAAAAAGCAGGAAACTGGGCAGTCATATTACATCACACTCAATAAATGGAAATCAACTCAGGCTTACATGGAAGACCTAAATCTGTGAAGCTCTAAGATGGAGACACATGGAAAAATCTTTGATATTGACCTTGGCAATGGTTTTCTAGACCTTCACACCCAAAGCACAGGCAACAAAAGGAAAAATGAACGTGTGAGACTTCATCGAATAGAAAACATTTTGGAGATGTAGCTAAGGATATAGTTTATAGATAACGAATTTGCGCATGAGGCCCTAACTTTGATACAAATAGAATAAATATCTAGTGATTGGATTTCTGGATTTCATGGCAATTCTGCTTTTTGTCTTTTTTTGACAGTCCTGGGGCTTGAACTCAGGGCCTTGGCACTGTCCATGAACTTCTTTTGCACAAGGCTAGTGTTCTACCACTTTAGCCACAGCTCCACTTCTGCTTTTTCATAATTTATTAGAGCATTACAACCTTTCTTGCCCAGGCTGGCTGCAAAGCATGATCCTCAGATCCCAGCCTCCTGAGTAGCTAGGATCACAGGCATAACTCACTGGTACCTGCCTACTTTTTGTCTTTTTAAGAACCTCAATATAGTTTTCTATGAATACTGTAATGATTGACATTCCCATTAAGGTTCTATTTTTTCCCCAAATTCTCACCCGTACTTGTTATCGTTTGCATTTTTGGTAATAGTCTTTCTGAAAGCTGTGAGGGAGATACCTTATTGTGTTTTAATTTCCATCACCCTGATGTTTACAAAGCTGAGAATGTCTTCGAGTATCTCTTAAGTCCTCCTTCTTGAGACAGTCTTGTTTTGTTTCCTCAGCTGACCTTAATTAACCTCAGCCTCAGCTTCACAATTGCTGGGATTTCAGGTATACACAACCATGCCCAGTTTTTATGCCATCTTTGAGAAATAGCTATCTGTTCAGGATTCTTGTCCATTTCTAAACTAGATTTTTATCAGAATTCTTTAAATTGCTTAAATATTAGTCTTTGTTTTTATTACTTAAAAATTTCAATATTTTTAAAAAACAGATGTATGGCTTGTAAATGTTTTCCCCAAATTCTAGGCTGTCCCTTTATTCTTATTTCCTATGATGCACACAATTATTAATTTTGATGTAGTCCCATTTTTCTTTCTTGGCTTTTTCTGTAAAATCTAAAAATATGCTTTGTCCAATCCTGTTTTGTACAGATTATTTCATTTTTTTATTTTTTAAGACTTTTGTGCTTTAGGATTTATGTTACTATAGCAATTCTACAGATCATCAATAATTATATACACTGAAAAACAGGGCTGCTTTAGGAGTCAGTTATACCACTCAACATACGCCAACGCAGTCAAGGCAATATATAATAGACATAAATATGTGTGCATATTTATTGCACTATTATTCACAAAAGGCAAGCTGTGGGCCCAGTAGGATGCCCATTGATGTGTTAATGCTTAGAGAAGGTGTGGCACCATGCATAAAGCAGAAGCTAGATACTCATATATCACCCTGCACCAAAATGGATCAAAGACCTCAATGTAAGTCCAAATATCCTGAAAATATTGCAGAAAATGTTGCAGGGAAAATACTAGGGCTCTTAAGCACGGGTCAAAACTTTTGGAGTAAAGATCCAGAATCACAAGAAATCAAAGAAAGACTGGATAAATAGGATAGCATCCATTAAAGAGTTTCTGCATGTCAAAAGATATAGCTAGCAAGATAAGTAAAAAGCTCACTGAATGGGAGAAGATTTTTACTAGCTATACATCAGACAAGGGCCTCATATCTCAATTAGACTTCAAAAAATTAACCCTTCCCCCCCAAATCCTAAAGAAGCAACAATCCAATTAATAAATGAGCTAAAGAATTAGAGAATTCTCAGGTGAATAGACCAAATATGCCAATAGACACATGAAGAAATATTGAACATCTCAAACCAAACCAAAAACAAAAATGCAAAAAACAAAAACTCAGGAAAGATTCTATCTCACCTCAGTTATTATGCTGTTATTAAGAAATCTAACAATAACAGATACTGGTGGGGAGGTGGCCAAAAGCGAATGCTACTACACTGTTGATGGGAATGTAAACTTGTTCAACCACTCTAGAAAACAGTGTGCAGGTTCATCAAAAGACTAAACATAAAGCACCCCTATGATCCAACAATGCTACTCCTGGGCATTTAGCCGATAGAACACACATGCAACCACACTAAAGCTACCAGTACAACCATGTTCATTGCAGCATTTGTTTACCATAGGCAAGATATGGAATGAGCCTAGTTGCCCCTCAGTGGATGAATGGATGAAAAAATGTGGTTTATATACACAATAGAATTCTTTGCTTCCTGAGAAAGAATGATATTGCATCATTTGTAAGGAAATGGAAAAAAACTTGGAAAACATTGTATTAAGTGAAATAAGCCAGGACCAACGGAGCATAAGTTCCATGGTTTCCCTCATTTGTTGTAACTAGAATGTGCCTATAAGTCTCCAAGTAAATAGTGATGGAAAAAGACAAAAAATACACTTGGACAAGATAAATTATACAGGACTGGGCTGGGAATGTTGCTTAGTGGTAAAGTGCTTGCCGAGCATTGATGAAGCTCTGCTTCCGTATCATAGAAACAGAAAAAACTGGAAGTGGCACTGTGGCTCAAATGGTAGAGTGCTAGCCTTGAGCAAAAGAAGCTCAGGGACATTGCTTAGGCCTTGAGTTCAGCCCCAGGACTAGCAAAAAAAAAAAAAAAAAAAATATATATATATATATATATAGAGAGAGAGAGAGAGAGGGCTCTAAACATTCACACAGTGAGATCAAAGGAGATTCTTAGGATAAGATCACAAAAGGTCAATAGCAATGCGCATACGATCATACAAAACTGTATCTATAGAAATGAACTCTTAAGAAATGGAAACGAGATTTTTTTTGTTATTTTGCTTTTTTTTGTTCATTTTCTCCTCTGTTGCTGTTTTGATTTCAGTACCTTTTGTTTTGTTTGTAAATTTATTTGGTTGTAGGAGGGTAAGGTGAGCACAGAAATGATGGGACAAAGGGTGAACCAATAAATCTGTGGCACTCATAGACACTAAGTTGAAAATGAGCTACACAAGTTGTGTGTGGGGACAGGAGGGAAAAACTGGGAGAGAGTGAGGGAAGGGGTGTCATTGTCCAAAAAGAAATATACTCATTACCTGACTTAGGAAACATAACCCCTCTGTACTTCACCTTTATAATAACTATAAAAAAGCATGGCATATGTACACAGTGGTGTAGTATTCCACATTAAGAAAAATAAACTCATCTCATTTGAATGAAAATGGATTCTCCTAGACATCATTATGTTGCACAATAATAATCTTTAGTTGCAGATGTTAAAGATGGAGAAAGACACATTTTTCTTCTTATATTTAGCCTAAAAGTAGGAAGGCAGATTATTTTTTGGGGGGGGGGGTCTGGTCGTGGGGCCTGAACCGCAGGGCCTGGACGCTGTCCCTCAGCTCTTCAGCTCAAGGCTAGCACTCTACCACTTGAGCCACAGCACCACTTCCGGTTTTTTTCTTTTTTGCTTATGTGGTGTTGAGGGCCTCATGCATGCAAGGCAAGTCCTCTACCACTGAGCCACCTTCCCAGCCCAGGAAGGCAGATTTTTAAGGAAACCCCAGGGAGGGAGGAGGGAGGAAAACACAGGCAATGTGTGAGGGGATGCACTAGATCAATGTTCCTCATACACATGTATCAAAATGTCATACTGCAACCCATTCTGTTGCACACACAACCTACACTAATAAGAATAGGCACTACTGAGTTTTGCATGTTAATCTATGTTTGGTATCTTGCTACTTTGCTGAAAATGTTTATCTGAGTAAGAGTCTTCCTATGGAGTCCATAGAATCCTTGAAGAGTCAGGTCTTATCTTTCATAAGCCGGGATTGCAGTTCTCAGCTGAATTTAGGATAAAATGAAAATACCCTGGGATAGTTTCAGAATGAAAGGAATGAAGAGCATATAAATATTAGTTTGTCTGACTGTACTAAGCTTCTCCAGGGTCACTAGGCCATGACTGAAGTAAAGGCCCAGCAGTTCCACAAAAGGTTTTTTATTTAAAGTTCAGTCATCCAGCTAAACTTTCTTTTTCAGATCAAACAATTATGTAGTGCCTCCTGTTATCAGAAGCTTGTATAGTAAGTAGGAAATGTAGAACAGTATTTCAGTATCAATATCGTCACACTTTCTGGGTAAAATTATGTTAAAAATCCCAAGTGCTACCAAAATAGACAGGGATGAAGTTTGTGCTTATGTATGATTCTTCCCAGGGCTCCCTTCATGTCTCTGTTCCTGAGGCTGTAGATGAAGGGGTTCAACATGGGGGTCACCACCGTGTACATCATCGCCATGACAGTCTCCTTCACGGTAGAATTATCGGCTGATGGACATAAGTAGAGACCAATAATTGTCCCATAGAACAGGGACACCACAGCCAGGTGGGAGCCACAAGTGGAGAAGACCTTGCGGATACTGCGAGCAGAAGGGACCTTGAGGATGGAGGAGACAATTCGTGCATAGGACATGATGATGAGTACAAATGGGATGACGATGACAAGCCCGCCCATGATGAATATCACCAACTCATTCACACGAGTGTCAGAGCAGGACAGCTTCAGCAGAGCAGATATGTCACAGAAGAAGTGGGGGATCACATTATTCTTACAGAAAGTCAATCTGGTGGCGAGCAGGGTGTGCAGCATGGCATGGAATGTGGTCAGCACCCAGGACAGTGCCATCATTCCCACACATAGCTTGGGGCTCATGATGCTGGTGTAGTGCAGGGGGAAGCAGATGGCCACATAGCGGTCATAGGCCATGGCCACAAGGAGAAAGCTCTCCAGGTCTGCAAAAAACAGATAGAAATATAACTGTGCCAAGCAGCCTGCGTAGGGGATGGCTGGGACTTGGTTCCTCATGTTCTGCAGCATTTTGGGGATGGTGACTGAGGAGAAGCAGAGGTCAGAGAAGGATAGGTTGCTGAGAAATGCATACATGGGTGTGTGGAGATGGGGGTCTAGTCGAATGAGGACCATGATCAGGAGGTTTCCTAGGATGGTGGTCAAGTACATGGCCAGAAACAGGACATACAACAGATGCTGGTGCTCAGGTTTGATGGGCAGGCCCAGGAGTAGGAACTCTGAGATGATGGTTTTGTTCCTTTCTGTCATATTTTGTCTTCAAGATCTTTCAAAGAAAATAATATTATTCCATTAAAATCCAAATATTTAACCCTAATTCTGTGTTCATTGCCTGTTGTGTATTTTATAACAAGTCATCCCACCTTTATCACAATAATTATAGATTTACACTCTAAAGATTTATACTCTCTGTAATTATAAATTACTTCTCTTGATCTCTTTTAAAGATGCTTTTATATTTCATGTGTCCTACCTGTTTTTATCTAATAACAAAAACATTTTATCTAATGATGATAATAACAATATTTCTCTAATGATGAAAACATTTTTCTAATGATAGGAAACACATATTTTTCTCTTGTCTGTATGAATGGTCAACCTAGGAGGTGAGGTAGAATTCCTGTTCTATCAGTGTGTGTTTACTGATGCTCACAGATTTTTTTCTAACTTCTGTAGTCTGATAATTCTATATGTGGGAAAAAACCTCATTACTCCATTGGCTTAAATGAACATTTAGAACTGGATTATACAGTTCAATACCCTAGAACTCTGGGTTACATTTCCTAATCACTGTCTTTCTTGGATATGTTCTAGTCATCTTTAGCTCAAGAGACCTCAAAGTGTTTGATTTTGCATTGCTTTCTCTAAATATCCACCTCTTTTACTCTTTTGTATGTGAAATTCAGGATCATCTTAGATATATTTGAATATTATTTCACTTATTCTTTCTCTAAACATCATATTCAGTCTAACCAATCCTTCAGATTCTCCCTTCACTCCCCTTCCATTTTATCCACTCCTTAGCAGAAGATCACATTCCTGGAACATGAGGATGCCTCGTGTGTCCTAGATTATTGAAGCAGACTTTCCAATCACTCCCCAGCTTCAGTGCCTCAAAAGCCTTCTCTTCAATATGCTTCATTCACAAAGTGGAATTCGCATCTGGAAACCAGATTGTTGCTTTTCTGATTAGTGCTTTAAGTGATTGCCGTTGCTCTTAAGATAAAGGCAAAGTTCCTCCCACAGCACAATGAGGCTTCATTATTTGATCTGTGCCTACCTCCACAGCCTCACGTGGCCTCATAGTTAACATTTTAGCTGCAGTAAGACTAGTTAATTTTATAATTACTGACCTACTTGCTTTTTCTTTAGCCCAACTCATTCCTTACATATAAGCTTCATCTTTTTCAGTAGTCATTGACTGGTTCCACAAAAGCTAGAAAAACAACTTTGTAGTAACCAGAATGCTACCCAACTATAGATGGTTCCCTTTATTGACATAATGGTCAACAGTGGTCAATAAACAGTTTTATATTCCTTAAAAAAAGAAAGCGGTTATTTCTAGTCTCCAGCATTTCAGAGCCACTGTTTCCTTTTCCTCTTTTCCCTTTCTCACAAGTGCACCTCACTGGTCGCATCCTCAGTTCCATTTCTTGTCATATGATAGGATAATTGCTCACCTAACCCTTCCCTTCCTTCCCAGTTCCAAAAGTGTGTTCCAAAAGCATCCACACAGCCCATCATACTCAGGGCCTCTGATCATGGGGTTGTAGCTGATCTCCCCAGATTGGAGTTCTATGAAGGAAAGTCCCATCTGTCTTCACTCCTGCAGCAGGGCCAGCACCTAGAGGCTGCTTTACTTTAAGCCCAGATACAGAATCTTTTGACTTTATAAGTAGCAAACTCCTACTAAGTTATAACAATTACTCTTCTTAAATCTCCCGATAATGTAAAATCCTTAGGCTTAATTTGACACTCTGATGAACACCATGGCTGTGGCTAGTACAAAAATATTATGTTTAATAGGATATGTTAATTGTAACAATGTTTCATTGTGATATTTCCATACATGTATATGAAGTACTTTTTGTTTTCTTATTGTTTTTTCTTATTGTTTTTTCTGTGTCAATGAGATCGTGAATACTGAAGATTTTACTCTGATCCATTGGTATTACTGAAAAGAATAGTACATTTCACATTCACTAATAATTTTCATAAAGACAAAATTAAGTCTGTGAAGTTCATCACAGTGTCAAAATTTAGTGCTATATAGGTCTAGATGACACCAGCTACAAATAGATTCAAAGACTCTATGTCCAGAGTTGTTATCAACTTATAGACAGTCAGGAGTAGAGTGGGACATTTATACCAGTAGCTATTACAAAATCAAAAGGGCACACACACACACACACACACACACACACACACACACACACACACACACACACACACACACACTTCTGTTTTCTTCTAGACAACAATGATTAATGACACTTCTCCCGCTGACCCCCAAGTGTGTCCCAAGTTTGATAAAGAAAAACCAGGAGCATGAAGAGAACCACAAAGCTCTCTATTAGACTATGTAACTGAGTTAAAAGGTAAAGACTTTCACCCTGCTGATGGTTCTGTTTAAAGCAGCTGCAGAAAGACTTTGGAAGACTTTGTACACTTGGATCTAAAGTGTTGGCATTATAGAGGGAAGAAACATATGGGTAAAATAACACAGTTTCTCAGAATTCTGCTTTCCTTGTGAGTGAGTGGAAGCCATATTTTATGCATGAGAATCACAGAGAGCTCACCTGCGGGTGCTGCCACCGATGGTACAACCACCTTCATACCTTCTTCAGATGTTTTACTGTAGTTCTCAACCTGGACTGCATGTAAGAATCACCTAGGGCAGTGCTTCACATTTGGCATCTGTGCAGATCACCTGAGCATCTGTGAGAATATTGATTCCAGTGTTTTAGCTCAAACTTCGCATTTTAAATGAGCCACCCAGATGATGTCACCTATTTCTGCGATGCCAAGTACATAAACTGCTATTAAACATAGATTAAGGAGCCCAGTCAAGTAAATTCAATCAGAATATCTGATGTGAGTCCTGTAAGCTCCATACCTGAGTGCAAAATAAAAAGAAGGCATGGGAACTCTTGCATTGTATCCTACCTTACAGCTCTATTATTCATTTGAAATGATAGGAGCATGGGAAAAACACATTGTAAGTCAGTAATAGTAATGAGCCCTACCATTGATAACTAGATAGTAAATAAATAGTGACCATTAATCAAAATACTTCTAAATCATGGCCAAGTTTTGAGAGGTAGAGTGCTATGAAGAAGAAAATTATCATGCCTGAAATTTTTTTTTTTACAGAACATCATATGATGGAGGATTTTAGGTTGGAAGGACAGGAAGGAACTGTCTCATTGTCTCTCCTGCTATTCACAGGGGTGCCTGAGGGTGACCCCATCTGGCAAAGTTCCCGCTCCCATTTATTCGTGATAGGCATAGGAAGCAATTGCCTCTCTTGTCCTTGCCTCTACTAAGTCTTCCCTTCTAGCCAACTGTGGGCCTAAGAGGCTCTGTGTCCCAGAGGATTCACGGTCCTGCAGAAACTCATTAAAGGAAAAGTAAATAATGAGGACCTCTTCAGGACCAATTCCCTTAGAGTCCTTTAGTGATGACTGATTCTAGTCACTGATCACACCTAACTACACTTTGGAGAGGAGTTCATGGAAGGATCTTTAATGATTGGCTCTGTAGGAAATGGATAGAAGTTCTATGAAGATCGAACCTCAGGGTTAAGAAAAGTGATTGGAAATCTCCAATAAATAACCAGGCAGCATACAGAATGACTTAGTTCATCTTGGGAGTATGAAAATGCACTCAAGTACTCATAAGAGGTGTTAAAGCTGAGCACCACCATGAAAAGTAACTTCCTTAAAAATCAAGAAAAGAGATAAAAACACCACTAACCAACTTTACACTTTTAACACTCCATTTTCTATGTTTGCCAGTGTATGTATGTTAAAAACGGGAATAAGAGCAAAGATGAACTCCCCTAGATCACATTCAATTCCCACTTTGTATCATGATAGAAATGTAGCACCATATTTCCCATTCTGTTACTTTTACCTCCTTAACTCTAGGAAAACCTTACTAGCATCCACCCACTGCCATCTTCCTAGCCACTCTCAGGATTGCTTCAGCTATTCAGGGTATTTTGTACTTTCTTTTAAAATTTTTTTTGGATTATAATAAACTTTAAAAAATTTAAATTGTTCTTATAAAGGGGTTACAGTTACATAAATCAGGTAAAGAGTACATTTCTTTTCTTTTTTTTTTAAATTTAATTTAATTTTATTTGTGAACATACTGTGCAGAGGAGTTACAGTTACATGGGCAGGATAATGCGTACATTTCTTACCAAGCATTGCAGCCTCCGTACATTTCTTTTTGGACAATGTCACCCTCCCTTGGTCTCTCCCAGTTTTTCCCTCCCAACCCCACTAATTTTTGTTTTCATATACATTTTTATGATGGATTTTTCTATATCTGTAGAAAAATGACATGACTTTTTAAAGTTATTTTAAACTTTCATTTTATTAAAGTTTTAATTATTATTATACAAAAGGGGGTTGCCATTGGGCAATTTCATCCCTTCCTTTGTTCTCTCCTAAGACATTACATTTTGATAGGGATCAAATTTATTGCATCACTTGTGCAGTCATTTTACAATAGTATTTCTGCTAATCCATAAGCATGGAGATCTTTCCATCTTTAGCATCATCTGTTTCTCCAAGTTTTTGTAATTTTCATCATCTCCTTTGTTCATTTTGTTCCTAGGTTTCTAATTTGTTTGAAATGGTTGCAGAGGGGATTGTTTTCCTGATTGATGATGATGATGATGATGATTAGTGTGTGTGCTGGTCCTGAAGGCCTGGGTGCTGTTCCTGAACTTCTTTTGCTTAAGGCATCATTTCCAGCTTTTTCTGAGTAGCTTGTTGGAGATGAGTCTCACGGACTTCCTTGTCTGAGCTAGCTTCAAACTGCAATCCTTAGATCTCAGCGTCCTGAATAGCTAGGATTACAGGCATGAGCCACTAGTTGCCTATCTCTGATTCATTATTTGTATATTTTCCTGTTCATTATTTATATACAGTTACTGAGTTTTTTAATTTTTTAAAATTATTTATTTTTTTATTGTGAAAATACTGTACAGAGGGGTTACAATTACATGGGCAAGATAA